ACTTATTCTTTGTAGTTTTATTTTTTTTAAAAAAGTACTTTAAACTGTATAAATAATGTAAAATTAAATTGATTTAAACAGCCAATCAAACGAAATTCTTCCTAGAACGCAAATGTCGTGTAGAGTGATTCGTTTCGAGCCTGCATTTGATAAGATAATAATTGTTATAATTTGTTTATGGCATCAATAACGTAGTTGCATATGTCATTGGGCGTGTTTAATTGAATGGTCAAATGGATCATGGCTAATTGGACACAATCAAAAATAATCTTGAAAAAGCATAATTGATTTCTACTTTCTTTATCGACTACATACCCAGAATTAAGATCATATATAGCGGGCATGTATCCGTTAAAGAAACAACGTTAAAGCAAAATGCTAACATACTGTCATATCACTGGACGTTGATGTGAAAGTAAACAAAATATGCAATAATAAGGGATTCATTAGATTATTAGCACAATTCAGCAATTAGAATGTTACTACTTTCTGCCTCAACCATCTATGAATGATATCATAAGAGAACAGGATTTTGGCTTTTGAACTTGTAATTTGTCGACTCGATCTTTAAAAAGTCTGATGGATTAACTGGTAAGTTATAAACTTAAATTCTTTTCCTTTTAGTGTCACATACATAATTTGTTGATTTTAGTTCAAGGTAAATTTACATCTCAAGCTCAAATTTCAATTTGACATAACAGTTTCAAATAATTCCCATTCTAATTTCACGCACGCATATCAATATACATAGATCTTAGTTTTAAGAAGATTCTGACTCCTTTCAATACAGTCAATTTATTCAATTTATTATAAATAATTTTATTACCGTGAATGTGGATTGGAATCGATCTAATCGACTATTATATTTAGTCGATTAATTAGTTGACTAAGCATAATAGTTTACTATACGGATTGTTTAGTCGACTAAACTGATTCTAATCCCTAGATTGCGAATCTTAAATAACTCGTTTGAGTATTTTAAATTGTAAATTTTCAAATTAAAACTTCAACATAGCAAAAAAATCCTATTTATTTCGTAAAATGAGCAGTTTTTTGAAACCCCATTAGCAACATTCTATTACTCGTATAATGCTATTTCTATACAGAAACCTGAATAGCTTAATGCACAGTAACTACATAGTAACTATAAAGTTGAACTCTAGATATTTGAAAAATCCTTTTTTAGTATGAGTAACGGTTTTCATTTATCCAAATCTAGTAGGAGTTAAGATAATACTGAGCGTGTAAAAATTACATTTTTACATTCATCGGTTATGTCGGTCAGTCAAGCCGCTAGTATCGGTTACGGTTAATAACCGCGACTAAATGGTTATAACCGTAACCGAACCCATCCTTATTCTGGAGAATAATACTGTATTAGATAATCTTGGTAATTAAAAACGGATAATCAATGTTTAATAACTTTCAATTACTATCATTATCGTTGATGAGAGGTTCTTGACTAGTGATGGGCAAATCGTAGTTTTTTAAAAATCCCACGCGGGATCGGAATATAGTAATTTTTCATGACTTATAAATATATAAAGAATATCACTAAAAATATAATTTCTTGTTAAAACAATATGATTTTGTTCTGCTTGAGAGATTCCATCAAGAAGATTTTGAATATTTGAAGTTCTTTATCTGTTTATATTAATTGTTGAATTTCTTTTTTTTTTTGGTTCTTGAAATGTAGGTCCAAAATATTCTTGTTTAATATCCAAACTAACATAATCACATACTTTAAATGTCCTTCACATCTTACAATTGATTCATTGCATATATGATCACAATAATTGCATTTAGCACACCCTTGTTTATAATCTGGGTCTGATCCAAGTTTTTTAAATGATGTCAAATTGGTTTATTAACATCCATGTTATAATGGGTGGTGCACATTTCGCTGACAATCACTTCACCGACAGTCAATTTGCCGACAAGTTTATTTCACCGACAGTCATTTCATCGACAAAGTAATTCTGATCATTTTTGTTAGGATCAATTAGAATTAGAATTAATGATAGTGCAATTTTTTAAAAAAAAAACTAGTCGGTGAAATGGCTGTCGATAAAATAGTTGTCAGTGCAATAAACTTGTCAGTGAATTGATTGTCGGTAAAATGGGTTGTCGGTGAATTGATTGTCGGTGAAATGATACGTATCCGTTGTTGTTTAAAGAATGACTTAGTAATAATTATATATTTATTATAATAAGGAATAGTAAGTAAAAACTACCGATGGCAAAAAAAATTTAAATCAAGTATACACATATATATACGTATAATGATAAACAAATAAAAAATACTACATTCGCATTAATTTTATGTATATCAATTACTAACCATTAATGTTAATGCAGGCCAACTAATCTCATTAAAATCACTATTCTTGACAAAAAAAATTTAATATTTTATAATGAGTAGCTTGTAATCGAATTGCGACTTTATGGATCACATACTTAGATTAGCCTTTTATGAACTGTAATGGTTTGCTGTGTTGTTCTCGTTAGATCAGGTTTTTCTTGGTTAAGTTTATGATTGTTAAGTGGCGAACAGATATGAATGTTAACAAATTAGTGCTAAAGTAAAGGAGTATTTTCATATGGCTTCAAGCGTGAAACAGATCAGTGGGACGGAGGGAGAAAATGTAATGCAGTGTATTTAAGGGTGATGCTTTTAGTAAAAAAACGCTTAAATCATATGATCGCCACTTTAGTTAGCTATTTTTAACTACCATTTGTGTATTAACGTTAATCTTTTCTTCGTTACATAGATGGCAGTTGAACTGTTTAAACAACTTTCTAGTGATTTAACTAGCCTTCTTGAAAATGGGAATGAATATAACGTAATAATTGAAGTTGGCCAAATGCCGAATCGTCAAATATTTAAGGCACATTCAATTATTTTGAGTTCTCGATGTTTTTATTTTCGTGAAGAGTTGACTAAAACAAGTTACGATGAAAATAACGTTAAAAAAATTAGCCAATCGCATGTTCCCGTTATTATATTTGAAATTATTATCAAGTAACTATATTGATTTTGTTATAAAATACATTTTATATCTTGATCATTAAATACGGTTTTAAGTGTTTTTTCTTAAATTATTTAGATATATTTATGGTGGCATAGTTCTGTTCGATAAAGTCGATGCACCTACAATCCTTAATCTTTTAGCTACTGCTAAGGAATTTTGTCTCGAAGAATTAGTAAATCTTACACAAACACAACTGGTTAAAAATCATGCATCGTGGATACGTTTTAATTTTGCTAAAGTTTATAAAATAAGTTCGAATTGTGATGATTTTAAAGTTTTACAACAATTTTGTAATAATATTATCGCTGAACATCCAAGTATTATTTTCGATTCTAAAGATTTTGTGAATCTTTCTGAAGATGCCTTGGTATCCCTTCTGAAACTTGACAACTTGAAAATGGATGAAATAAAAATTTGGGATAAAGTTATTAATTGGGGAATTGCTCAAAATCCTGACCTTGATTCTAATTCCACACAATGGTCTGATAAAAATTTTTTAGCTTTAAAATCTACGCTCAAAAATTGTTTACCTCATATCCGGTATTTTCAAATTTCTCCTGAAGACGTTATGGACAAGTTATATCCATATCAACAAATTCTTGAACCTAATTTGTGGAAAGATATTATGATGAAATTGACCGTTCCGAATAGAGCTATTACTTCGACTATTTTACCCCCCTCGCGTAATATTAGACACCGTATTGCCACCAAGAAATACTACAAATTCATATGGTAATATGTTGTAAATTTATTTTTTACAATTCACAATGACTCAGATAAATTGAATTTTCCTATACGTTTTCCGCTATTTAATTTATTTTATATATTCTTTTAGGTCGTAAGTTTTTAAATAATGATTTTTTAAATCAACTTTTTACTGCTTATTTATTGGTTGAGTTACTGTGTATGCTTTATTAATTTGATTTGTATTTACAGCTCGTAAGTAAATAACATATATATACAAATATTTCTCACTATTTGAGTGTTTTTAATTCTTGCTGATTTAAATTTTCTGATATTATTTATAGCTGAACAAAGTCATTTGGTATTTATATCTAATTATTATAATAAATACAAATCATAGAATTAATAACTTTTAATAATAATTCATTAATGCGTTAAGCCCTTTACCTGGGTAAAAGCTAATGGAGGCAAAATTCCTGATCATGCTTACTATGCCAACGGAAAAGCAATCGGACGTGGTGGCCTTGAAAATAAAGGTATACACCCTGGATATGTTGAAGAAAATCAAGGTTTGATTATCGAATATGGTGATGCAAAAGTATTATTATCGGAATATGAAGTATTAGTTATTGTTGCCTTGGAATGGGTTCATGTGTAAGTTTATACATTAATACTTGGTTGCAATATATAATTCTAAAGCCTATTTAGAGATAATAATTTTTTTTAATAGATCACAGTTATCTGAATTGTTGGGTACTACTCCTTTCATTGCTGGTGCTGAACAGGTAAATACACTAAAAATATTTATATCGGTTAAGTCAAAAACTTTATAATTAACTAATTTTTTTATAATTATTAAGAGAAGTATGGACCTTTTGTATTTTGCTAGAATAAATAATAAAATTGGTAAAGTAGGAAAGGTATGTTTATAATTGTATTTAATTCAATATTTGTTTAAAATAAATCTTAATTTTTAATTCTATATATTAGCATTTGTCTGGAATTCATTTTGTTGATAATGATAAAAGTAAAATTAGTCAAGACTACGAAATGCTAGTCTATAAAAAAGAATCTATCAGAGAATTAATTGAATAGTAACCTAATTAGTTTCCAATCAAACTAAATAGCAGATTAAATTGCTAAGGTTTGTCTAAATACGTATATAGTATAATATTGAGTTTTTTCTTAATATATGTACAATTATATATACGTATTAGGTAATTGGGTATAATTATTATCGCAATTGATACTAAAATTTGAAGTCTCAATTTATAAATATAAGCCCAGCTAAATTTACATATATATTTTAGTTATCAATTCTAACCTAAAATCCTAACCCAACTCTTAAAAAAAATGAAAAAATATTCGTTCCAAGAGTTGAAATTTTTATATAAAAATAGGTCCAAGTTTCAACGTCAGCCGTACAATTATTTGTTAACCTTTTTATATACATATATAGTTACTATAGAGTTTGTTTATTTATATAACAGATATTTTATTAATATATATATATATATTTGGTATTAAGGTGATCTATTTGGTATTTTGATTTTATTTTTTATTTATTTATTTTTTTTTAAAAAAAAAGTGAGGTCTTGCCTCAGTTTCTTTATTGAATTTTAACATATGTAGTACATTGATAATTACACATAGTAATATATTACTTCTAATGAAACTAAAACTTAGGCTGCTTTACCTATGACCCATATTTTGTTAAGCAGAGTCAAAAATCTCACTTAGTCTATGATATTATCAATGATGACTGGAGGAGTATTATGCTTTTGAAATAGTGAAACCCATTTATTGATTCTGTTTGTTACTTGATTAGCTACTGTTTCTTGATTTGTTACTGTTATATTGTCTATTTGTTCTTGTGTTTGTTCATCATTTTCTTTTTTTTTTGATTTGTTTTTTTTATTCTTTTTGTTTTTTTTGTTTTGAATAATTTTTGTTACTTCTTTGCAACATGGTATCTATAGTTCTTTGTATATGTTGTTTATAATTTTGTACAATATATAACATATAAAATTGTGTTTTCTTTTATAATCTATTACTAGTTTATTGATTTGATTTATTGTGTTTAGATCAGTTATTGCTAGTATTGTTGGATTTAGGTCTGCTGCATTATGTGTTGTTGGTTTAAGTATGTTTGTTAACAGTTGTAGGTTGGGTTGAGTTCAGTAAATGTCTTATATTTTTGCAGTGTTTTTGTTGTTATATTTTTAATTAATGTTTGCAATTTTACTTTGTTTTTATAACAAGTAAGCCAGTAAACATTTGTTTCATATTTGTTATTATATATATAATAGTTTTGTATTGTGTGTTTTTTAGAATATCATTTGTATAAGTTTACTTGTATAGGAAGTTCATCTAGGATAAATTTTAGATTAAATGATTTAATTTGTGAATGCTTGGAATTTATGCTTTATGCTGTTGGATTTTTATTATAATTTATATAATTATAAAAATTATTCTAATTTATGTTTTCTTGTATTTGATTTCATTTAGTGTTTTGATTTTGTAAATACAATATTACTGTTTGTTATGCATTTTGAATATGTTGTATGAAATGTCTTAAGGTATGTTTAATTGATTTTTCTTTTTAGCTTATTGAAATATATTATTTCTTATATTTGTATATATAATATTAGTTTAATACAGGTTTGTGCTTGTTGTGAGTTTATCTGTATTTTGGTTATATTGTATTAACTATAATATGTTTTTTTGTAGCCAGTACTTTCAGTATTAACTATTCATTGCTATTATTTGCTCTGAATAATTATGTTATATTATAGTTTGAAGTATCTTTTACTAATTGTATTATGTGTGTTGTGAACCTGTAATTGTATTGTATATTTATATTAGTATCTTGTAGTAGTACTAGAATCATGCATAATATTACATTGCATAATGTTTTTGATTTGATGACCAGTTATTAGTTGTATGATATAGCTAAATTTTATTATTTGTCATTCACCAATATACAGTTGTTATTGATATACTATTGATATTTTCTGTTTGTATATTTAATGACATTTCAAAGTTTTTTAGTTGTAGATTATTTATTTGTTTGTACAGGTTCTCTAGCATTCTCAGTACAGTTAGCTTTTGTTTATTTTTCTTTAACTTTTTTGTTCTTATATGTTCTGTTAATTAGTTTGTTGCTGTCTTGATTACTATTAGCATGTTTGGAACTACTTTTATCTTATTATTAATTCTTATTTACTGATGACAGTTATTTTTTGCTATTTCTTCTCACTTATATACTTATTGCATTTGCTGATTTCTGTTATTAAATCATTTTCTATATTTTGTATCTGTCAATGTTCTATTAGTAGTTTTTTTTTTTTTTAATTATTTTTCCTAGTTGTCTGTTATTTTTTGCATCATATAAAAATTTTTTTTTTCTTCTATTCTTTAAAAAACTTTTTTACTTAATTTTCATTGCTTGCATATTATATTTATCTGTTTTAAAGAGTTCTTTAACCTCTTTGGTCTCTAGTTTTTTAAGCACTTTTTCTTCTATTCTTTGAACCATTTTACTTTTTTGCCTTTGCTCAATTATTTTTGGTAACTTTAAAATTACTATTAGTAATTAGTCTTTCATCTTTTGTATTGAGTAGTTAGTTTAAATATATTAGACTTGTTCTATTTATTTTGGCTCTACTTCTTTTCTACAATTATGTTTTTAGTAGTTCAACTATTTTACAATCATAGTTGCTCATGGTCTATAGTTTACTTTTTGTACATATACTTATTCTCAGCTTTTTTGCTTTAATTATTGTCAAACAAACTAAATTATTTTTTTAATATGTTCTATCTTTTGACAGTTTCTCTAATTTTTATATATCTTTAGTTAATCCTGCTCTTTAGTAACTTTGTATTATTTTTAATTTTGTTAACTGTTCTAGTTTATTTTTTTTGTTAAGTCTTGCTAACAGACCTTCTATTTGTTTTATTATTAATTTATGCTTATTGTTATCTTTTTGTACTTAAGGTCTTTTATTGTTTGGCTTATTATTTTTTTTTATCTTTTTCTTGACTAGAACTTTTTACATTTTGTTATTTAGCTAAATTTCCAAGAAATAAACTATCTTGTTTCTTGATTTTTCTATTATTTTATTTTTTTTAAATATTATCTCTCTTTTCTTTTTCCTATTTATTATTATCAACTTTAACTTGACTTTATTTATCTCTATATTATTTATTTTAAAAAACTCTTTTGTTATTTTTAATATTTTTAATAGCTGTTCTTTGTTGTTTATGATCCATGTTGTCTTGTTTACATATACAATTGCTGCTTAATAATAGCTTGTAATATTATTGCAATATATTTCTTCTTTAATTTTTTAATCTACTATATAGTTTAATCTTTCATCTTTTTGTATTCTTTCTAGTAATGGGTTGTAAAAAAGGCATCATATTAGTGATAATATTACTTTATCTTGATTTATTCCATCTTCTGCTGTTATTTCTTCTGTTAGACTATAGTCTGTAATTATCTTAAGCTGTTTCTTATGAAAAAGATTTAAAATACACTTGATTGTTTTCTTAGATATTTTGAGTTTTTGTAAAGCTCATTTAAGACTTTTAAATAAAACAGTGTTAAAAGTCTTTTTCATATCTTGCAAAAGTATTTATAATTCTTTGTTTTTCTCTTTTGTTTTTTCTATTATTATATTTAGAACATATTTTGACTATTTTGTTAAGTTTTCTAGAAGGTTTGCATAGTTTAGTTCCTTAAATATTTCTTTTTTAATAAAATTTTACTAAGGCTTTACAGGTTAAATAAATAAATAAAAGATAAATAATAGGTAAATAACAAAAAAAAATCTGTTATTATTCTATCCTATATCTACCAAATAATAGTAATATAACAGTAACATAATAGCAGAATAACAGTAAAATAACAGGATTTGTTGATATGAGTAACATAATAGTAACATAATAGCAAAATAATAAAACAGTTCTATTATTTTGCTATTATGTTACTATTATATTACTCATATTAACAAACCTTTTGTTATTTTACTGTTATTTTGCTATTATGCTACTGTAATATTGCCATTATTTGGCAGATATAGAGTAGAATAATAGCAAATTTTTTTTCTGTTATTTATCTATTATTTACCTTTTATTTATTTATTCAACCTGTGACTTTTTGTTAACATCTTTATTATGATCTTTTTAAATGTTTCAATTAAGACTATTGAATAAATGTTATTTAAACTATATTCTCATTTTATATCTTTTGGTATTAGATATGCTTGTGCTATTTTCTACTTTATAGGTATTTCTTCTAACTCTAAACATAGATCTGCATAAGCTCTGAACACCTCTTGTGCTTTCTTTTCTACTCTTTTAATTAAAGTATAGCTTATTTCTGATATTCCCAAAGCTGTTCTTATCTTGAGCTCTTTAATTATTTCATTTTATTCTTTTTTTTAAATTTTTTTTTGATTCCATTATACCATTCTTTTTTGACATTATTCTATGACTTATATATTTCTTTTCAACTTTTTAATATCTCTTCTAATTTAATATTTCTTTTTCTAAATTGTTTTTTATAATGTTTTGCTATAGCTTTTTTAAATAGCTTTAATTTTATTATTAGTTTTATCTTTTTTTCTAATAGTTCAATTAATCTGTCAAGTATTACTTTCTTGTACAGTTTGCTCAGAAGGCTGGCTATTATTTTTTCTTAATTAGTTTTGATCATTTATATCTTTTGTTTATATTTTTTTCTATTTGTCTTCTTTGTTTTTGTTCTTATTTATTTTTTTTCTTTTCTTAAAAGATTCTTCGCCAACCTTTTATGTCTTCTATCCAAGCATCAGACTATTGTCTTTGAATTTTTGGAAACCTTGCATTCACTTTCTTATCTAGTACTTTGAGTTTTCTATTTATTTTGCTTTTTTTTGCTTGTGACTTTCTGTTCTTTTTTGTCTTTGTATATTTAATTAATTTTTAAAGCTCTATAATGATCTTTTCTTGTTATTAGTTTTCTTAACTATGCTTTTTGTTTGTTGCTGTATTGTAAATTTTTTTTTAGATATGTGTTTGTTCATTGCTGTTATAATTGCCTCTTTTATCA